AATTATAAAATTTTATTAAAATAATTAAAAGTTTTAGATTTATATACTATTAAATTTTGGTAACAATTGAATATAATCCATTTAATACATGATATAAGGGCGTATCCAAGCGCTAGTTAAAAAAATATTGGTATATTTTTTATACGCTTGCGCGGTATTAATACTAAATAGCTGCGCCATACGTTATTAAGTAGTTTTTAATTAATAACTAGGGCTTTTAGTTAATAATTATTATTAATTATTAATAATGCGGGAGGTCCCATCACTAGTTGCAAAGAAAATCATTTATTTACTTAATGAATTAGTTGGGTAGTTTATGACCAATAATAAAACAACATTCAATTTCATGTAATCTACCAATCACGAGAAAGTTAGCCTATAGTTGTATTGGCTCCAAATATTAAGTGTCACAAAATTATCTGATAAAGTGACATCATAAGTGGAAGTGTTGTTCACCATACCTTAGCGACAAAAAAATGAAGGTACGGAAATTTTTCTTCGATTAGTACTGAAAGAACATCCATAAATATATACTTTCTTTAGATCGCTATAGAAGGTTGCTGTCACAACCAATTGGAGTTGATTTATAAAACTATTGATTACATAGAAAAAGAAAAAAATATCAATGTTGATTTATTATTAATATGCGGAGATGTTCAGGTTTGAAAAGTTTAGCATATTAATAAATTATTTACGCGCTAGCGTTCAAAAAACAAAAAAAAACCCAAAAATTGTCTAGACTGTACGAAATAGGACAGATTTAGAATCTACCAGTATGCCAGATCATTACAAAGAAATGGGCACATTTTATAAATATTATTCTGGTGAACTTAAGGCCCCAATTCCAACAATTTTTATTGGTGGGAATCATGAAGCGAGCAACTATCTGTGGGAATTGTAAGCATCATCATAATTGGGCTTCTTTAAATCATTGCAGTTATGGTTCTTATTAAAATAGCTTCAAATGTCATAATACTTAAATTGAACTTCGCAATAAAATTCAAAAGTGGGTTCAGTTTAGAGAGTGATGACTGTATCAAAATATGATTTTTTGAAATTATGCTTTATCTTTTAAATAGGTATTATGGTGGGTGGGTGTGTGAAAATATTTACTACCTCGGTTGTTCCGGTGTTGTGAATTTTGGGGGACTTCGTATAGGAGGACTTAGTGGAATATACAAACAAAGAGACTATGGGCTGGGTGTGTTATATAAAAATTGCGTGAAATCACCACTTATGATTTATAAATTAAATATATATTTTTTATTATAGGTCATTTTGAAACGGTTCCATATACAGACGACACTATTAGATCTATTTATCATGTAAGACGATATGAAATGTTCAAACTTAACATGGTATGTCAACTTATTCATCGTATATCGCCTCTTTAATGATCCATACTTACTTCAAGCGAATGAAAACAGATTAAACAACCTATAGATATATTCCTTTCCCATGATTGGCCCGAAAATATAACAAGATTTGGAGATGAACAAAGACTTAAACGAATAAAGCAAGGTCTTGCACCCGACGTAAGTAGGAGAATTTAAAATTATTTTAGCCAATCAATAATTGATAATGACTATTCTTTTATAGATTGAAAGGATCAGGCTCGGAAATCCATATAGTGAATTGCTACTTTATAAATTAAAACCAAGGTACTGGTTTGCTGCGCATCTTCACGTCAAATTTGCTGCATTGATACCTCATGATGCTCCACAAACAGTAACGGCTCCAAATTCAGATGAGATACCTATTTCTCTTGATGAAGCTGCTATTAATCAGAATGAAGTAGATGATCCGGATGAATTACCTTCTTTCATCGATGACGTTGATAATAAAGATGTTATTGAGACCGACGAAATACAAATCATTAACTCCGAGGAAATATCAATTGCGAATGATACGACAGTGGAATTGACACAAGACTTGGAAAACCTTAAAGAATTTGTGGCTTCTGCAATTTCTTCAAATACCCAGACTTCATATACTCGTTTTTTATCACTCGATAAATGCTTACCTGGTCGCGAATTTTTACAGGTCTATATTTTGTAAATTTTATCTTGCCAGTGTATTATATATATTTTTTGGATATAATGTTTTATTCGATATTGAATAGGTCTTGGATTTTCCTGAAGCAAATGGACCTCTGGAATTAAGTTATGACGAAGAGTGGTTGGCAATAACAAAGGCTACGCATCAATTTTTTTCTGTGACACGTAAGCAGGTACCTTTACCAACAGAAAGTCAGATGCAAAGGTATGTTTATTGAAACGTTCTATTTTTTAATAATAATTTAGATAATTTATAATTCTTAAATATTTCAAGCCAACTTGATTCCTCTCAAGAATGGGTCCACAATAATATTTTACAAAGAGACTCTGGACTTTTTATTCCAAAAAACTTTCTTGCTACAGCACCTGCACATAATTCCAGTAATGAACAAGATTATGATTTAAGTAAGTAACTGTTATGATCATGTTTACATACAAGTGACTATTAAATTTTGACAATTTTTTTTTCAGATATTCCATTCTTAAATCCACAAACCGTTACTTTTACTCAGATGTTAGAGATTGAAAATAAAGTTAACCAAAATGGTCAAATTGTTCAATGAGGAAAATAAGAATTTTTTAAACATGTATTTATATGTGGTTTACTTGATATCTATATACTGTATTTTTACAAATTTTCAATTTTAAAAATGCTATTTACTAAACTACCTGGTAAAATAACAAATATTATATAAAATAATATAGTTGAATTACTAGTTTCTAATAAAGTTGTTAGTAAAGTGAACGTTTATTTATCAATTACATCTTGAAACGCTTACTTGGGCTCAGGCAATAGAAGTCCAGTGCGCGGGTTAAATCCGGTGTAATTTATCAGAATAAGTTTCTACCGTAAATAATTATTAATTGTGGCAGTTGAAGCTGATGCTGAATTTTCGTCCCTATAATACCTACTAAAATTCCACTTATACTTTTTAAGGGTAGGAAGTACTATTTTAAAATTATATATAAACTTTATTGTAATTTTTTTTTATATTTAATTTTATAACAATTATATTAAGTAAATTAATTTTAATTAATAAGAAACATTTGTAGAGCAGAGTTTTCTGATTCTAATAATAGTAAAACCATTAAAATTGGTTAAAAACTCAATAAGATATAAAATTTTAAAGATTAGATATAAAAATTTATTAATAAAATTAACTTGTAAATTAGCCAATTAAATTTAACAAGTTTGCATTATTTTAAAAAATTTTGAGTTGGCTTAGTAATATATACAAGTATATTTTTTTAAAATATAATATTAATTCAAAACTTTACCATAATAGATAAGTTGTTTTATTTATATTTTATAAAATTTAAATAAAAATTAATTGTAATTTAAAAAAGGTTTATTAGTAGCATATACATATTGATTTTATATAAAATTTTCAAAATATTATAAAATTATATAAAAATAATCAATATACCTTCTACTTTTAATTAACAAAATTAACCTTGAATTTTAACTAAATTCTAAAAAAATCTATATAAAAGACTTTAAAAATTTTTAAAATTTTATATTAAAATTTTAGCATTTATTATTTTTAGTACATATTAGTTGTTATATTAATTTTAAAGATTAAAATTAGAATTCTTATAAAACTTTTAATAAATAGTAATAAAACTGGTAAAATAATATAACAATATTAGTTTATTAATTTTACTAGTAACTCTAATTAATCTAATTAAAAAATCAGTTATGGTACTTTTTTGTTAATAATATATATATATATATATTTTTTAATATAATGATGAGGACATGTTTTTATCCTTATTAAATATTTAATTGAGATTTTATATAGAGTACAATTCTGTTTTTAAAATATTATAGAAAGAATAGAAGCTTAGACTAATTTATCTATGACCTAAACCAACTGAAGTAGCCAAGGTTTATCTAGATTTAATTGTTAGTAATTATGTATAAGAAATTAGTTTGATATTTAATCTATTGAATATACTAGAAGTTTATTTTTAAAACTAATAAAATTGAGTAAAAGAGAATGTAATAAAAGTAAGACAGCATTTGAAAGTATATTATATTTAGTAAGTTGAACTGTAAATCTTGAGATGCAGTATAAAATTCAGATTTTATAATAGATTTGTTGGTTAAGATAAAATAAGAACTTGATAACAAATGTTGTGACTACTTTTTTAGATGACAGACTTGCAATAATGTTAATAAGTTCATTTTGTATTAGACCAGTTAGAGTTAAGAAAACTGAAGGTAAGTCAGGTATACTGTGAATAGTCATACTACTCAACAGCTTATTTGGTTATATAAATTAATTATAGTATTTAAAGTAATGTCAAGTATTTTAGCATTTAAAGTATATTGTAATGAAATGTCTATAAAGCTATATAGCAATTAATTAGATAGTCAAGTTGTCTAATGAAAGTGAAAACTGATTTGATGATATTGATAACAGATAGGTGAGTATAAGTGATTTGGTTTGTGTAGAATACGTGAAGTAAAAAGATCATCTAGTAGAATTTTAATTCTAAAGAATTTAAGAATAGACAACTGAAAACTATATGAAAGTTTGAGATTTTTTAGTTGTTGTTAATGTATAGCCAGATGGCTTGCTAATTAACTTGGTTAAGGATTTTGTATCATTTTTGAAAACAATTTTGTGTAATTCATATATGCATAACATATTGTACAGATACTGTACTGAGTAGATAGTTTTAAAAAAAAGTTTTCAAAATTTAAAGTGTATATAGGATTGTAGATATTACAAGACATAAAGGTAAGATGACAAGTTGCGATAACTGCATGCAAGTTGGTCTGCAAGATTATTGTACTAATCATCTTAGTAAGCAGTAACTTTGTAAAAAATAATATAAATATTATATAATTTGACAAAGTTAATAAGTGTATTCTATAATGAAAAATATAATGTATATATATAGGATAGAATGTAAATTGAGTTTGAAAGACTGTAATATTTAGAGATTATAGATGTAAATTAGTATATATATGTATAGTATAGTTTCTAGAAGCAGTAATAAGAGCTGATAAGATAGCAGTAAGCTTAGACTTAAATAAACAAGGCCAGTATCTTGTTTGGGCTTGAAATATATACAATATATTGTTATTTAAAATTTGGGCTTATTCAATATCTATAAAGTATTGTGAGGTACTTAGATTAATGACAGAGCCATTTGTATAAAAATGGAGTTCTGATAATTGTATATTGTAATTAATAATTGGTTAAAGATTGTTTGTTAAAGTGCCAGGTTCAAATATAGTTGGAATTAGGTTTGTTGTAATATTAATGTTAGAGGAGTTAGGAATTTGAATATGATATTGAATTGCAATAGAGTATATAAGATTAAGGTAATTAATATTGAAGTTAAGAGATTTATTGTATGTATTAACTCAACCAAAAAATCTGAAAGAAAGGTTAATAGAAATATTGTTTGTACATTTATTGGCAATTGTATAAGAGTTAAGAGATCAATCTGGGTATGCTTGTGATTAAATAGGTGGAAGTAGATATAAATAAGTAAATTGTTGTTTTATATAGCATTATTAATAAGTAATAAGAATAGTTCTTGAAGAAGAGAGTTGTCTTCTAGCTTTGCCAGTAATAATTTAATCATAAAGTACTATAATGAGCCATAGTTTTTTTTTATAAAGAAAAGTGTCCAGTTGAATAACTATAGTAATTAGTACTAGGTAAGTGTCAATGTTGATAAAAAGTATGATTATATAAGTAACTTATAATTTGGTCTTCTAGGTAGCTAAACCAAAATAGTAGTTTGTCTTTAGAAATTTTGTTTATATATAGAGATATATGTTTTTAGTCTAAAAAATATAAGTTGTAAAATGTAGTAAGTTGGTCTAAGTAGAGAATACAGCAATGTCTAAGTTGTTTTTTAAAGATTGAATATTTAGTATATAATAAAAGTATTGACTCAAGTGAAGTAGATGCTTCTTGAATAGTGTATAGAATATTGTATAGTAGATTAGATATAGATATTATGCCAAGATGTTTAAAGAGTTGAATGATTTTGAAGTTAATAGTGTATTTGTTAGATCTATCAATAATAGAATTATTATATATTAGAATACTAGTAGATAACTACAAGTTGTTTTGAAATTGTTAAATCCTAATATGAATACTTTTTTTTTTTGTTTACACTAAGGCTGTAGTTATTGATGACTATTGCCTTTATTAGGGGTTTGCTAAAGCAGGATAACTATTAAATTGACAGTCCATGGGTCGTGCAAATCAATTGACATTAGCACATAATCGACATGTAGCAGCCAATAGAATTATGATTCAAATGTCCAATCAAAATCTAATCATGCATCTAATTTTAAAAAAAAATCTTTATCTAAAAAAAATCATGTGGCAGGTTAGTGTTTTGAAGTCGGTTTTAAAAGAAAAAAAAAAAAAAAAAAGAACAAACAATAGGTTCAGGGAACTTATTATAATAAGTTTTTTAGCAACGGATTTTATATGAAAAAAAACTGTAATAACCTATACATATAAAAAAACTCTGTACAAACGAGTAGGTTCTGGCTAAAAAAAAATTCTGTGGCAAACAGCAATCGAGCAGCTTCTGACTATAACAAAACTCTCACAGCAAGCAGCAAACAAATGGTCTCTAGTTACAGCAAAATTCCACAGCAAACAACAAGCGAACAATAGCAAACAAACAGTAATAAAAGTCCTACGGCAAACAGCAAAGAAAATAACATTAAAAATAATAATAATAACAATAATAATAAAATAATTAAAAAAAAAAAAAAAAAAACCAGTAATGACAGGCTTTGATTGACTATAATTATATGATCACAGCAATGTCAACCATCCGAGACTGTTTTTTTAATATGAATGAAACATTTGAGCTTTCCACTGAGGACTTTAACAAGCAGTAGGCTCTTGTTAATAACTTTTGGACAAAATACAATAGTTACATATTAAATAATGGCGATGAATGTAAGACTTTTGTTTGTAGACTTTCAAAGCCTCAAGAATCAAGTGGAAGAAAAAAAAATGTTCTCTCCGAAAATCTTCGCATAACCTGGAAAAAACCCACCATCAATTGTGAAGCTAGAATTAGAATAACATGGTTGGCGGCATCGAATATGGTTAGAATTGAGAGGGTAAGAATAAATATAACATTATTTAAATGTTGTAATATTGTATTGTTTTAATAAAAAAAAAAATTTAAATTGTTTATAGGTTAGTGGTACCTTTAATCATAGCCATTTAATGGAAGAAAGTAATATGTGAAAACAGTCAAAATTTATTAAAGATATGGTGGGCAATGAGGCAATTAAAGATTACAAACCCCCGATGATTGCTGATGTTATTAGGAAAGAAGCCTCTAAATTATATGAAGACTCGGGCGTAGAATATTTAAAAACCAAGGAGGTCACTAATATCAAGCAGAAGCTTGTTGGACCAATGAATTTGCATCTTGTTGGAGATGCAAATTTAAAACCTGATATCTTAAATACAATCAAATTTTTAATAGAAAATAATTATCAAGTTGAGTCTTTTCAAAAGCAAGAATCACTTGAGCATTTGCGGGGTTTATGCTTTGCAAACTTTTGGCAAATAGAAAATTTAACGCGTTATGGCTGGTTAATGCTCATGGATTCTACACATAACACTAACAAGCACGGGTGGCATTTATTTACTTTATACATCCGTGATAGCTGTGGGTGTTGGAATGTCAGCGCACACTTCTTTGTTAATAGAGAAAATAGTAAGGCAGTCATGTCAGCGTTAAAAATTGTTCAAAAATTTGCTCTACAATGGAATCCACAGTATATGCTTCTTGATCAAAGCAGTATAGAATCCAATGGTATTGCATTAACATTCCCAGGTCTTTCTGCAAATAGGAATAGAATGAATTTGTACTTTTTTTTTTTTTATTTTTTTATATTTTTTATTTTATTTTATTATTATTATTATTATTATTAAAATCTATAGGAGAGCAGGAATGTAATGTTCTCCTTTGTACTGTGCATGTTGTATGTACATAGATGAAAAGTATTTATCATGGCCTGACACTTAACAAAATGATCCACACAATGCACAAAAAAACACAAGCAGGATGTGAGGAAATTGTCTGTGATGCCATAAATATCTGTTCTATTCAAGCCAATGCTAAATATATTGCCAGAAACTATCTAAAAAATTCGAGACAATGGTCTCTCTGGGCTCAGCAGCATTCACCACTTCTTCTTCAAATTACTTCTACTAACCCTTTAGAGTCTTATTACAGTGAGCTAAAAGCAAAAATTTCTGTTCAATACGGTTTCATCAGCGAGTATTTTCTTTGAGTGATTTTAACCATATTTTTTTTTTTTTATATAAAAAAAAAATTGCTTTTTAATTTTAATTTATTGCACTTTTCAAATTACCATGCTTAGCAAATTTTATTATCACATGTAAATCCAAATTTTGGATATACTATAAAATGCAAATCTATAGTTGACTAAAAAAATCAGTAATCGATTTTTATTTTTTATACTCAATAATGGCCTGGTTAATTTAAATGCTTAAGACTATTTTTGAATATTGAAAACAGACAGGAGATTAGTAAGATTCCTTCGCTCAAAATTTATTTGAGTATAATTAAAAACCAAAATTTTTTATTGTTTGGTTAATCAATATAATAGTAGGTATTATACTAGAAAATTAGCATTCAATGTGGAATCTTTGAAAGTATTATTATATTCAGTACCGATTTGTAGAAAATAAGAAATTTAAAGAATTTTGCAGATTCTATGTGATGTGTGATTGAAAAGCGCAGTAATTTTGATTAAGAAAAGCGATAAATTATATATTATATTTATTAAATCATTAAGTTTATTATATATACTTATACATATATATATTTTTATTTTAATTATTATTACAACACAGGTGTGTGTAACATCCTTTTAGAACTCAACAAAAAAAAAATGATGGCTGCAAAAGAAACTGCTATCAACTTTTGTACTAAAAGAATTTCTCTTGCTAATATTAGGCCAGAAATCCTTACTGAGGTCCATAAATTTCCTTTTCCTTTTCAGAAACTTATCACAGAAGAAGTACATGCCATCTCAAAAAGGCTGGAAGAGGGAAAGTGTGCACCAAACCTTGCAAGTGCAGAATGCTCATATAGATTCTTCAATCGGTATATGTTACCGTGTCGTTATATTTTTCATGAACAACTTTGTAGTTCCAATATTTTAACACTAAAAGCATAGGATAACTTTCAAAGAACATTCGAAGAGGGTGGCATGGAAGTATATCAAACCTGTAGTATTGTGGAAGTACCTGTAATTCAGAATTCAGTTGAAAAAAAGGCAGCTGAAAAAAGTCAATCAAGAATGAATGAATTGTTTGAAAGAACCCAAGACTGCTACTATAAATTGGCAGAGGAAAGCATAGATGAAGCATCATGATTCATTGGAAGTTTGGAAAAAATTTTAGAGCCAGTGCTTAATTAAATTTTTGTAGGAAAAAAAAAAAAAACAAAAAAAAAAATAAATAATGGTTATTGTTCTGGAATGGAAGAATAAGCACAAAGCATTTATTCATTATAAATAATCTGCCAAAATGGATTGAAATAAAAGTTGAAAAAGATAGCGCAAGGCATTTTAAAAATATCAAATGTACTGTATATGCAAGAAGTAATAAATAGCATAATAATACAAAGCTGGGTCATAATTCTTTGTTTTTTTTTTATTCATTTAAAAGGGTAATTTTTTTTTTTTAAAATATAAGCAATTTTAAAGCCAATGTTTATAAACTAGAATAGCTTACTTTAAACACTTGGATTCATAAATTTTCTTTATACAATAACAGAAAAAAAAAAATCTAAATAGTAACCATTCATGACCCGAAAGTTTACTTTGAACACTAAACTAATCAATTTTCTTTTATTACAAACTAAATTAACTCGAATTAAAGGAAATTAAATAGTAAATACTCGTGAACCTGAATAGCTAATTTTAAATAACTAGATTAATAAATTTTCTTTATACTTACGCACCAAATCAACACGAAAAAATGAAATTAAATATTAAATATTCTAAACTTAAATTAATAAATTTACGTACCAAATTAGCCTAAATTAAAGAAAATTTAATAAATATTCATGAATCTCAATGGCTTGTTTAAACAGTTAATCAATAAATTTTCTTTATACTTAAGCCTAAGTCAACACAACAAATAAAATCGAATAGTAAATGTTTATAAACTGGAATAACACTGGTAAAAAATAAAAAATTTGATATGTTGAATGGCACTATTCGAATGCCATTTGAATAGTGCCATTTAACATGTCAAATTTTTTATTTTTTACTAGTGTAACTTATTTTAAATGCTTAAATTAATAAATTTCTTTGTGCTTACACACCAAATTAACCTGAATTAAAGAAATTAAATAGTAAAATTCATGAACCTGAATGGTTTATCATAAACAGTTAGATTAATAAATTTTCTTTGTACTTACGCACTAAATTAACATGATAAATGAAATTAAATAGTAAATATTTATGAACTGGGATAGCTCATTTTAATGCTTAAATTAAAAAATTTCTTTGTATTTATGCACAGGAAATTAAATCACACATATTCATGCACCTGAATAAATGCACTAAATTACAGAATTAACAAAAAAAAAAAAAAGGAAATTAAATAGTAATTTTCTTTATAAATTAACATGAAAAAAATCAAATAGTGGACATATATTTAGATTAATAAATTTTCTTATATTTACAAAATTAATACAAACAAAATGAAATTAAATAGTAAATATTTAATAAAAATAGCTTATCTAAAAAAAAGACACTAAGCCATGTTATTCCTACTCTTACCCTCTCAATTATAACCATATTTGAAGCTGCTAATCAAGTTTTCTAATTCTAGCTTTACAATTAATAGTGAATTTTTTCCAGATCATGCGAAGCTTTTAGAAAGAAGGTTTTCTTTTCGTCTGCTTAATCCTTTAGGCTTTGGCTTTGATAATCTACAAATAAAAGTTTTACGTTCATCATTATCTAGTTTGTGTTCATTAAATCACATCTATACAAGAACCTATTGCTTATTAAAATCAAAGCTCAACTGTTATGGCCATGGCATAGTTTTTTTTTTTTTTTTTATAACTACAAAGCTACTGCCTTGTCGTAAGGAGATTTCTTTTTATAAATAGTGTTCTTACAAAGAACTTCGAACCAGCAAATAACAGAAGGTTCAACCATATAAGATACCTCAACGATTTAAAAAAAATTTTTTTTTAAATTTACAAATAAATTATTAAGCAGTAGCATGAAGCATGTTGATTGGTTACAGTTGATGAGATAATCAATTGACCTGCACGACCCCTGGACTGTCAATTTAATAGTTACCCTGCTTTAGCGAACTCCCTTTATTGTATTTTAATTATAATTATATAACTTGTACAAGGTAAGTATATAACTAGCTACATGTATAACTTTTGGTTATTTATTTTAAGTAGTCTACTCGCATAGCAGATTCTACACTAGCTGCCATATCTGTAATCTTTTAGAAGATTATCTATTTAAATACTCTAATCTCTATATTTACACTGACAAATAGTACACAAGTTCTTGTATATCTAAGTGCTGTCTAACCTAACTGTGACCTTTCTGTCTATATATTCATCAAGCCATTGCATATTTTAGAATACATCATCTGTCTGTAGGGCTTCAGAAGGTTTTTTGCTAACTAACTATTCATATTTAGTTTCTTGTTAATAGAACTTACCCTTGCAAAGTTTACCCAAACTCTAGCATTGACTTCATAGCATATTCCTAGTACTTATAATATACCCCTGCTTTTGATCTCAGACTCCTAATTCAAATAGTCCAGTAGGATTATGACCTGTCTCTAATACCTTAGAGTCTTCACTTCAAGATCTTTTTCTTCTAGTTTGAGACTTCTAGCAGCCTAGTTAGTAATACCTCTTATCTGAGGTTCTTGTTTATCTAATTTCTTTCATATTAGTATCTGTTTCCTAGATTTAGCCTTTATAGTAGTATTGTCAAAAATCTGTGCTATCTCTCTACTTGGGTCTTTTCAAGTAGGCACTGGTTTTTCCAGTTCATAGATTTATATAACTACAAGAACTTATCTTGGATTTACATTATCTAATGCTAGTTTGCATTTTTTTGTATAACTCCAACATTGTGCAGATGCCCTATGACCTACCAGTCATGCTGGTATAACCATGTTACAGGTACTGATTCCAACTAATAGACAAATTGCTGTTGCCATAATACTACTTATCTTCTATAATATTGATATAATATAGGTAGTTTTTTCAAATTTTTACTATTGGTGGGTTTTAAACTTCCAACCTATTACTTGGAGAGTTGATAACTTATCTACTTCACTAAGTTGTCACATTTTAATACAAGTATTTATTCCAAAAGATCAGGAGAATTAAGCCTTTTAGTAAAGTTTGTAATATGATGTTGTAGTTGAATGTCTCATATGTTATAAATATTATATAGCTGGGAGTAAAGCAGTGTACTAGTAGAAATTGTGTAGCTAAGTTTGGCTTTGTTTTTAACAAGTTCAATATGACTTGTAAGAATTTTTTTACATGTATTTTGATTAAGAACAATGTTGTAAAATTAATATTCTATTATACTAATTATAACAGTTTGATAATATACTATGTATATATATTAGTAATTTGCTTAGTGCCTGCAATTTTGATAAGATGTAATAATTCTGTTATAATAAGTTTGGTTTGTTTAGTTAGTTTATTATTAAGTATAAACTAGTATCCAAGAAATTTAAATAGTTTATTTGATAGATAAAGATTAAAAAGATGGTTGTTATATGTGATAAGAATATAGTTAGTTTGTTTATTATTAGTTGTAAGTATGGATTTAGAGAAGTTAATCTATATATTAGTCATGTTATAAAATAATTTAGTTGTAAAAAGAATTTGTGATAGTTTTTGTTATGAAGATACAATCCAAAAGATATCATCCATATAGGCAAGAAATGAGCAGTATGCAATAAGCTAGTTGTGTGTTTGATGTTTAGGATTAGTTAATCAAAAAACTTGTGTAGTATAATCTTTGAAGTTGTTATAAATATGTGATATAAGTGGGTCATAATAAATTTTCTATAAAAGAGGGATAATAGTTTTATTCTAGTTAATGCCATTAAGCACAGAATATGATAAAGTAAGACTGAGATTTGTAATAACTTAATTTTGTTGATTAGTAAGTATATATATATTTTTTTTTAAGACCAATGTTATCAGTAGCTACTGCCTTTATTTGTGTTTTAGTTAATGCATTACATTGAACTTGTACAAAGTAAGTGTGCAACTAGCCACACATATAACTTTTGGTTACCTATTTAAGTAGTCTGCCTGAGGGTTCTACACTAGCTGCCATGCCTGTAACCTACTAGAAGGGTACCTATTTAAACACTCTGATCCTTATACTGCATCTAGGTAAGTAGCACCTGGTTCCCATGCACCTAAGTGCCATTTAACCCAACATTTAGCCTTCCCTTTTTGTACATCTGTCAAGCTGTTACACATTCCAGAACACGTCACCTGACTGTAAGGTTCCAGGGTACCTCCTTGTTAACTACCTACCTACTCTATGGAACATTAACAAGGCTAGCCCTTGTAGAGTTCACTCAGATCTCAGCACCTACTTCACAGCATATCCCTAGTACTTATAGTATACCCCTGCTTTGTCTCTAAACTCCCAATCCAGATAGCCCAGGAGGACTGTAACCTGTTCTTGGTATATTGAGCCAGCCCAATATCCTTTTTCTTCGGTTTAATTCCGGTGACCTGGTTGGTGGTACCCCTCACCTGAGGTTCTTGCCCATCCGGCTCCTCTGCATTGGTATCCATTTCCTAGGTCTAGCCTTTACAGTAGTACTATTGAAGATCTGTGTTATCTCTCTACTCAGGTCTTTCCAAGTGGGCTCCGGTTTCTCAGTTCTATAGATTTATACAGCCACAAGGACTTATTTTAGGTTTGCACTGCCTGGTACTGGTTTGCATTCCTCTGTGTACCCAAGGTTACACGGATGCCCCATGACCTGCCAGTCATGCTGGTGCGACCATAGTTACAGGTATCTTATCTCAACTGATCGACAAAAATACTATCACCGTAATACCATCTATGTATTATATAGGTGATTATCCAAATTTTTTGCTGTCAGTGGGTTTAGAACTCACAACCTACCACTTGAGAGGTTGACAACTTAACCACTTCACTAAGCCGCCACACCCCTTAGTAAGTATATTAATAATAGTATTAATAATAGAACTAGATAAAGCAAGGCATTGTAAAGACTTTAAAAGAAAGTAAGATTAACAGAGTCATATGCTTTGCTTATATGCTTTGCTCATATTTTGAGATAAGAGCCAAATTGGTTTGTAGTTGCATGATGCATC